CACTACACAATAAAACCCTCGTCCCTTCCCCAATCCCCTTATCTTCTTCTCCTGGTAATCCCTCGTTAAGGGTACGACTCAGGGTTTTCATTTCCTACTCTAGCACTCCCCGATTTCTCTATACAGATACTCACAGAGATATATAAATAAAAGGTTTCATAGTTTAATTTAGTAGAAAGACAGAAATGGCGGCAGCAACTGCTCAAATTCATGCTCTGGGTGCCACCATTCACTTTGCTTCTGCAAACGTAACCGGGAGAAATCCCCCAAAGACGGTGTTTTTGGGAACGAATCTTAACAATACGGCGTCGTTTGGACTCAAGATAAAGAATAGGGGTAGGAGAAGCTCGGGTGGTCGAAATCCCCGCGTGATGCCGCTCCGGGTTGTTGCGGAAAAAGTTGTGGGAATTGACCTTGGAACTACGAATTCTGCAGTTGCGGCAATGGAGGGAGGGAAACCGACTATTGTGACTAATGTTGAGGGGCAGAGGACCACACCGTCTGTAGTTGCTTATACCAAGAGTGGCGACAGGTTGGTGGGGCAAATTGCAAAGAGGCAGGCCGTGGTGAACCCCGAGAACACTTTTTTCTCTGTCAAGAGGTTTATTGGTCGGAAAATGTCAGAGGTGGACGAGGAGTCCAAGCAGGTCTCGTACACTGTGGTCAGGGACGAGAATGGAAATGTTAAGCTTGAGTGCCCTGCCATTGGGAAACAATTTGCAGCTGAGGAAATATCTGCTCAGGTACATATATTTTAAATTGCAACTTGCTTCATCGATTCAGCTTTAACTAGTCATTTCAAACGTTCGATGTGGTTTTCTGGTCACCAATTGGAAAGTATCTGAGTTGGTGTTTTGTTATAGACGCTTCATGTCTGTTGAAGTTGAAAGGTTTTGCATACGTGTTCTGTTTTATTGGAATCGGATTAACCTGAGTATGCGGTTTTTTTTTTGTCTCTTTTTTTGACTGATGAACCTTATCTTGTGTATTGAGGTGGATAATCATGGAATTGAAAGGGATTTTAGTGCAGGGACATTTTTGTTTCTCACGTTACATTTGCAACAATGGATTGCACGTTACACAGTTTTACCTTAAAATCATTTCTGGTTTTTGATATTTTTTGCTTATTAAATGAAAGTGGAAAAAGGATGCATGTACAGAGGGAAGCGTTAGGTTTTGGTTGCCCTTGATCTTGACCTGCCAAAGGGGCTGTAGCGACAGTAATAGGTCACAATTGAAAAGTTAACTGTCCAATTATGTTTCTGAGACCTATAATAGATTCTCTGTGGACCATGTTGGACATATCTGCTTACCAAACTTTTCCTTTATTTATTATAATATGCCAAACATGTACGGACATTCGCGTGTGCTTGTGTACTGGATATTAGAGTCTTAAAAGAGAACGAAATAAGAGATGAAGGATAAATGATTTTGCGTTTTGAAGAGGTCCTTTTCGAAGATCAATTATCACTACACCTTCCAGGCTTACTGCTCAAATCCATAGCAGTTTGTGACCAGTGGTGCATACAAAAATTGAGGCAAATTGCCTCTCATTGATATGTTTATTAGCACTAATTGATAAGATATCATGTCCTTTGATGATTTATAATTTTTTTTTTTTTTGTTTCGTGGAAAGATAGTTCTTCACGGACTATCTTCTTGCAAATTCTTGATTGTCATCCTAATATAATGAAGTTCATCTAATGGTTCTTTTAACTTTCCCCATATAGGTTTTGAGGAAGCTTGTTGATGATGCATCAAAGTTTTTGAACGACAAGGTTACTAAAGCTGTTGTCACAGTTCCTGCTTACTTTAATGATTCTCAGAGGACAGCGACCAAGGATGCTGGTCGTATTGCTGGTTTGGAGGTTCTCCGGATCATAAACGAACCAACTGCTGCCTCGTTGGCTTATGGTTTTGAAAGAAAAAGCAATGAGACCATTCTGGTTTTTGACCTAGGAGGTGGCACATTTGATGTTTCAGGTATGAAGACTGTCTCACTTGACTGATTTATCCCTCTGGTACTGTCTTCTGGACCTTAGGCTGTACTTTTCCATATGCTGTGATATATAGCTTGAGTGTTGATTTGTTTTGAAACTATTTGAGATTTAAAAACATTGCATTTTGTGCACTGCGAAGTTTCAATGATTTATTTTTATTCCTGTTACTGTAGTTCTTGAGGTTGGTGATGGTGTGTTTGAGGTTCTGTCTACTTCTGGGGATACACATCTTGGTGGTGATGACTTTGATAAGGTCCGTGTTCCTTCCGTAAATCTTTCAAAATAACTTGTTACTCTTATCTGCTTGAGCCATGACGTGCCTTTTCCTTGTACTTCATTTATGTTCTGGACTTGATTTGCCGATTGCTCCAGTCATTCACATGTATGTGTTATTATCCAGAGAATTGTTGATTGGCTTGCTACAAATTTCAAGAAAGATGAAGGTATAGATCTTTTGAAGGACAAACAAGCTCTTCAGCGTCTGACTGAGACGGCCGAGAAAGCTAAAATGGAGCTATCATCTTTAACACAGACTAATATCAGGCACGTTTTTGTATTTGCAACCTTTGGAATTATCTGCTTGCATTTTATACTGATTAGTTTTCTTTCTATTGCCTAGCTTGCCTTTCATTACTGCCACAGCAGATGGCCCCAAACATATTGAAACCACTCTTACCCGAGCTAAATTCGAGGAATTATGCTCTGATTTGCTTGACAGGTACTGGGAGCTGAAAGAAACTTTTAAGACAGTTATCAATTTCTTAAGTTATTGCTTCTTTTTAATGAGCTTGTGTTAAGATACTTAGGATACTTAGGTATTATCTTTCTTTCTCAGGCTGAAAACTCCTGTCCAAAATTCCTTGAGGGATGCAAAACTTTCGTTTAGTGATATAGATGAGGTCATCCTAGTTGGTGGTTCAACCCGTATTCCAGCTGTTCAGGAACTTGTTAAGAAACTGACTGGAAAAGACCCCAACGTTACAGTCAATCCTGATGAAGTTGTGGCCCTTGGAGCTGCTGTCCAGGTTTCCCCTGTTCCGACTTCTGCTTTCTTGGACACCTATGGTTTTTATAGGTTACTTTCTTCTTTACACCTATCTACCTTATTTGCTTAGGCTGGTGTCTTGGCTGGAGATGTCAGTGATATCGTCCTTCTAGATGTGACACCGTTGTCTTTGGGGCTGGAAACCCTTGGAGGTGTGATGACAAAGATTATTCCAAGAAATACAACATTACCCACTTCAAAATCAGAAGTGTTCTCAACAGCTGCTGATGGTCAGACAAGTGTTGAAATTAATGTCCTACAGGGTGAAAGAGAATTTGTTAGGGACAACAAGTCTTTGGGCAGCTTCCGTCTAGATGGAATACCACCTGCCCCACGTGGAGTTCCTCAAATTGAAGTCAAATTTGACATTGATGCAAACGGCATACTTTCTGTCGCTGCAGTTGACAAAGGAACTGGAAAGAAGCAAGATATCACCATTACTGGTGCTAGCACATTGCCTAGCGACGAGGTACGAGTTTTTGATGATGTTTTAACCAACAGAAACTTCTATGCAACTGCATGTGTTTGTGTTTGAGTATTGAGCTGTGATGGGCTAATGATTTGAGATTTAATTAGATCATTTTCCCACGAATTAATGGCTCCTTTGTAGCAGTTTGTGGATAACTATATTGAGGAAGCCATTAATGAGGGTGCACTTATAGTAGACACTGTTTTTTCGGTTTGGGGGTGGAGGAGGGGGTTGCATTTGTCATGAAAAGACCATTTGCCTTTTTGGTTTATGTTAAATTTGTAAATTTGAAATTTTGTAGGTAGAGAAAATGGTCAAAGAAGCGGAAAGGTTTGCCAAGGAAGACAAGGAGAAGAGAGATGCCATAGATACCAAGAATCAGGCTGATTCGGTTGTTTACCAAACAGAGAAACAGTTGAAGGAACTTGGTGATAAAGTTCCTGCCCCCGTTAAAGAGAAGGTTGAGGCGAAACTTGGAGAGCTTAAGGATGCCATATCGGGTGGTTCGACCCAAGCCATTAAGGATTCTATGACAGCCCTGAACCAGGAAGTGATGCAGCTTGGGCAGTCGCTATACAATCAACCAGGTGCTGCACCTGGTGCTGGCCCAGCTCCTGGTGGTGGAGCAGGCCCTTCGGAATCATCAGACAAGGGACCCGAAGGAGATGTCATAGATGCAGATTTCACGGATAGCAAGTGAGGCAGAGTGGGAATGGATACAGAGCTTTGTCATTATAACGACTTTCAATTTTTTTACTTCCGACATAAGGAATATTTTTGTCCGAATTGATCAATGAGGGGAGGTGGAAATAGGTATAATAGAGATTGAACGGGCTTAAATGGGTGTCTAAGGGGAAGTGGATACTACCAACCCCAGGTGCGTCAAATTGTATTTTTATTTTATAACGGTTTGGATGCATATGACAATTTGCTATAGAAATTTGCTTTGAATTTTTCCTATAGTTTTGTAATTGACTCCGTGTTTACTTATTACTTTGATGTTTTATGTGGATTTGTTGTGTCATAATTTGACCAGTTTTATCGAAGGGACTAAATGGAGAAGGCATCAATTTAAGAATTTGCAACTGAGAACTCAGAAATTCCCTTTTATCAGCGATATTAACAAATTTTGAGGTGTTATTTTCTGCATTTTTAGTCTTTGATATTTTGTTGTTTGGATGTAATAGTCAACTCTCATTTGGTAGGGCCTTTTGAAAAGTACGAAGTTGCTTTAGAAATTAAGAAAACAAGTTGAATAATTTTATGGAAGTATTTCGTTTGGTTATAAGAGCTTTTAGAGGAAGTGCATATAGGTAAAAAATTTTTTAGAGGGCTTTTCTAAAAAAAGCAGAAATTTTGCTAAAAGGGCTCATAATATCGCTACTTTTAATATTGTTCATGTAAAGTTTAAGCACGTTTGCTATACAATGTAGAATATTGAGATGGCTTTGCTTGCACTTCCATTGTTTGGCAATCCCGACTGATGATTTGAAGGAAACACTGTTCTGTTGTATAACTGTCTGTAATCCATTTCTCTATAATATGTGTACCTTAAATGCTCAAATGAGAGAATGGCAGCAAGTCTATCATTAAAAATTGTATATAACCCATTTTATTGGACTAAAAGAAAACTCTTCAAATGCTACTAAGTAATTGAGTAAAAACAATCAAAAGAGAATAGGCTAACAGAAATAGCCTTCAAAATCTGATTTATGCAGCAAAGACAAGTTCATTATTCATTAATCAGTGTGAAAAAGAAAAAAAAAAAAAAAGGAAGAAAAGAAGTGTTACTCTCTCTAACTAGAGTCCAAAAATGCGCTTACAGGCCTTCAAGATCCTGCCACCGTTGTTTTTCTTTTTCTTGCTGTTTGGAGATGCTAGTAAAGCATACTGGTCATGGATCCTGCTATACCTTTCAGAAACAGATGAAGATCTTCTCAATGAGAAAGCCCTTGAGCATAGTTGGAACGAAGAAGATATTGAACCATTTCCGTTCAATTTTAATGCACCAAATGCCTTCCCAATGCTATATTCATCCTCTAACTCTGAAGAGAAATCACGGGTTTTAACCGCTGATTCAATACTGTGATTTGGAGTAGTGTAAACATTGGGTTTTTGCGAGGAAGAGAGAAGATGCGATGATTCTATGGTGTACAAGTATCTGGTTTTGGAATGACCATTCATTTTCTTTTGCTTTTGGACTACCTTTTTTCTTGGCCTAGCAGAATATTTAGTGATAATTTATTGTGGATGAAGAAGAGGTGCATGCATATACACTAGAAAGATGTTGAATGGAAAGTATGAAAGAAAAATTTCATGGGGTCTTAGATGGAGATTGAACACATTTTTTCTCAGAATTTTATCATTAAGGAGAACATGTTTGCCTGTGAAAACAAGTCTGTGATTTATATATAGATTTAGCAGTGTTGATTCATTGATATATTAGTGGGAATGGGGTGAAAATCTGCCAAGTAGTGAGCAGTATGCACAATTGCCAGATCGTACCTAATAGAGCAATTCAGGTAATTCTGTCGCATTCTTGAAACGACAGTTGAATATTAGGTTGTTGAAGTCAAATTTTGGTAATTAGAAACTAACTTCTTTGGTCAAAAAACCACCTAAACGACTTGGTAATTCTCCGTGGATAACAATGTGCGCTGAGAAAACTTTGGCGGATTTCCATCTTACAGCGGTAAAATGTGAACAACCTGCAATTGGTTAACAAGCATTTTGCAGGAAAGAAAGAAGGAGACCTGAGTTTGAGCAATAAGCAAATTCTACTTGAAACGTTAGTGTTTCTTGAAAAGTGGAAGAAAATAAGAGAACTAAATGTAATTTCGAGTGAATTGTTTCAATAATCACCCAACTTATATCTTGGTCACGGACTACTCACTAAATTTTAAAGTACTTCACAGAGCTCATTGAACTTTGTCCGTTTGCACTCCTTTTATCACCTTAAAAAATCTTTTACATTATTCGTTGATGTGGCTAATGGAAATTTGACGTGGCAAGTTAAGGCCGTTAAAAAAAAATGACAACTTGGTGAAACCATTGTTTCATTACTCATCCAACTTACATTTGGTGTCAGTTTACTCATCGAATTTCAAAATGCTTCACAATGGTCACCCGTCTTTGAAATGTTGCACTCTATTCATCATCCGCTATATTTTGTTCCCTTCATTCCCAATGTTCGTACAAAAATTCCATGTGGTATGTTACAAATGTTAAAAAATTACAACTCAATAACACTTAACTCACCAAAATCACTATATATGAAACGTGACTTCCACGACCCCATCAACTTTTTTAAAACCCAATAACTGATGATTCTTTTAGAAATATCATTTTTCTAATTCGAACGTTTACTGTGCAAAATAGAGGTTTCAATCTGAGACTAAAACTCTGAAACATTACTTGTTTGGAGACACTTTATTGGATTTTAAAGAAGTTTATGAGGTGTGGAAGTCGCATTTTATATATGATAAACGTTCCAACCAAATAAGTTATGCTTCAAAGTTTCAGTTTAAAATTGAAACTATTTTTTACATAGTAAATGCTCGAATTAGAAAAATGATATTTCTAAAACAATCATTGGGAACGTTTTATAGGGTTTTAAAGAAGAAGATGGGGCTGTGGAAGTCACGTTTCACATTTAGTGATTTTGGCGAGTTGCAATTTTTTTTAACATTGGTAACTTACCATGTTGAATTTTTGTGCGAACATTAGGAATGAATGGAACAAAATATAGCGGATGATGAATATATAGTAACATCTCAAAGATGACTGGTCATTGGAAAGCATTTTGAAGTTCAATGAGTAAATTACAACCAAGTGCAAGTTGGATGAGTAATGAAACAATGGTTTCGCTGATTTTCCATTTGTTCAACGGCCGTAACTTGTTTCATCAGATTTTCGTTAGCTACGTCAGATTTATGAGGGTGATGGACGGAGTGCAAACTTGCAAAGTTGAATGAGTACAGTGAAGCACTTTAAAGTTAAGTGAGCAGTCTGTGACCACTGTATAAGTTGGGTGATTATTGAAACAATTCACTCTGTACTTTCAGGAAAAAAAATTGTGCTTTTGAAGCGAAGGAAGACCGATAGGGACCATTTGATTATTTACTTGATGAATCCCTTCGACGACCTGTGAAGAAAGATAATTTGTCGAAAGGATTGGTGCTACTTTGCTAGATAACCTTGAATGGAGAAATAGTGATCGGCTAAGAATCACACTTAGAACTGTTCGTAGGTCGGCTCGATTGGGGTATTTAATAAATGGAATTGTCGGGTCCAAATATAATTATGGAACCTTTCGGGTTCGGTTCCGAACCTAAGTAAATTTTTTAATATTTACAGCAACACTGTATAAATACAACTAATGACATTTCATTTGTAACTTTTACTAATTAACGTAGTTCAATTCAAAAACATTTAAATAACTAGCCGTCCAATAAGATTAATTCAATGCATACAAATACTAAAAAATAGATATTAATATTACAATAACACTATATAAAGTAAATTAAAATGGGCTAATGGGCTTTAAAAATGATTTGGATTTTAAAATTAAAATTAAAATTACGAAATAATATGATTTATTTAATTAATTTGCTAATTTGTTTAGAAAAAATAAAATAATTTGATTAATTCAATATAAAAAAAAAATTATTTAGTTTCGGTTTTTATTCGGTTCTTCGGTTCTTGGTCTAGACCCGAGACTTGATCCAAACCCATCGTTCGGGTATTTAACTTATGAAGAATTGCTCAATTCAGTTCGAGACTTTTGGACACCCATAATCACACTACCACAAAAGAAAAATGTTGTGACTTGAGAAAGAGAAATTTTTAAGGAACAAAACTGCTTCTAAAACGAAAAGAGTGACAATTTCAATCAAGGGTTGTTAGACAAAAATTCAGCAAAATTATAATTCAGGGAAGAATTTACGTGCAAACTATATAAAAATAAATAGTTGAAAAATGATTAATCATGTCTTAACACGATAGTCAGCTTACTCATTAGCAAGAATCGAAATCCACAACTATGTAAGCAGGTCTGTGCAGTTTGTTCAATGTTCATCTGACATTGTTACTTGTTGTACGAAGGTAAACACAAGTAAATAATCTTAAGAGTACATTGTGTTGACAACTACCTTCGTGCCTTTCTATTCATCAATGATGTTCTCTGTCAACGTGACAAGTCACGTGGCTTCCAACTAAGAAAAGCGTCGAGTATGAAAATGCTGATTTATTGAGCATCACATCACCTCCTTGACCATTGCTTTCCAGGGTGTTGAACGCATAGCATATGCCTTGTCGAACAATGAGTGTCAACACTTGACTCCGAGCGATGAGAGGAACCATACACTTGGCCAAATAAGATGGGCTTTTACTCTGAAATATAAAGTCACGTGAGATGTGATTGATATGACGTCTTCTACAACGATGACTAGAAATCAAATTTCACCTTTTATGTTTAAGACAGTGTGTGAAACACATACTTATTGATTCTTAGGGCACGACATTGGGACATCATGAAGCTTGGTTAGTGTCATTCAAATGTAATTTCAACGTTGCTAATTCTCTCTACAATACAAATTCATAACCCGTATTTCCTCTCCTCTTACTGTTACCAATCACTCAATATATTTTGACTTATCCCTTTTGACTAATTTGAGCTTCCGAGTACATATGATTGTGGCCACCCTCATCCTTTGCGTTTGGAGAGGCTCGAGTCTTGCATTTAAACTATGCATTTAACAAATGCTTAGAAGGAAGTCGATGTGTGATTTATTGATGCGTTAGTCCCAATTAAATTTGAATGTCGACAAATTGACATTGCCCGTTTCTAATTGGTGGGACGACCATTGGACATTTAACAATAAAACATGGTATGATAAAGAGTAACGACATTTATCTTTTCCCTTAAAAAAAAAAATTAAAAAAATAGTAAATTACACGCACAATTTCCGAAGCTTTTCCTTCACTCCAGTCATTTTCAAATTTATATTCCGAAATAACAAATCATTAAATTCTTCCCCTTAACTCAAAGTCTCTAGACTACTACTCTACAACGTGGAAAAAGGGCTTCATTTCTCCTCAGATCTGAGCTTGAGATTCAATCTCACTTCAATAATTAGGGTTTAGTGTATGAGACTACAAGCTCTGAGCTTTTTCTTCTTTTTTCCCCCCTCTTATTTAGGGTGGAGAAATTCTAGGGTTCTGTGATTGAATTCTGTTTTTAGATTGAATCGGAGAAGTAGAAGATTTTATTGAAGAAAGTGAAGCCGTATTCGACTATGCAGGACCTTGGTTTTCGGTCTTTGAGCTTGTTGAAGTAGAAACCTTGAATTTAACAAGGGAAAAAACTAATTTTTACTTTTGTAGCTGAAATATTCGTAGATTTTGATACGATTTCTAGCTGGTTGAGAGTTTCCAGATTGATTCGTCGATCTTTGGATTTTGGGATTTCAAGCTTGAATATCGCGAGGGCAGATTTAAGAGAAGGGAACCCCAAATTTTGGCTCGGAATTTCTGTTTGTTAGTGATTTCATTTGATAAATGTTGTTGAAAATCGTGACATAATATAGGCTCAATTCTGAGATTTTCAGCTACTTTTGTTAGGCTTCGACATTTTTTTATAGAAAGATTGTTATGTTCTGAGCAATGGCACTTAAGCTTCCTGCGTCAGAAGCAGCCAAGGTTGCCATTCAGTCGATTGGACGCGGATACGACATATCCGAAGATCTGAGGTTGAAGTACTGTAAAGGGGATTCACGTCTGATTGAGATCGATGAGGATCAGGGTAGGGAGATTGTTCTACCTGGTGGGACATCTGTGCCAAACGTTTCAAAATCGATCAAATGCGATAAAGGAGAGAGGACTCGTTTTCGCTCAGATGTTCTATCCTTTCAGCAGGTTTCGTTTTGTTTACTTTCACTACTTATTCATTCCTTTCGTTTAGCTATTTATGGAAGTACCTATAACTGATTGGTATATAGTGTGCACCCAATTTTCCTAAGAATTTATGTTTTTACATTTTTTATCATGCGCATTCTTGGTTGTTGACTGCCAGGGAGTCTCATTTTACATGGTTGTAGCCGTTTGTTTGAAGGTGCATCAATGTGTTTTTGATGCCAAGCAGCAATCTTGCTTAAAATATATAGTTATGTCTCTCCCCCTCTGTCCTGTTCAATGGTGTTTGCTCTGTACTAGCTTGATGACGTTACCATACTTCAATTACCTGTTAATATTATTGAGTATTCTTGTCACCTGGAGCAAGAATGTTGTGAAATAGCTACATATAAAACTTTGTTTAATGTAATGCTTTGACAACGTCTTAAATGAATGTTGTCTCCTTCTCTCCATTCACCAAGCATAATCACAGAACGAAACAATAAAAATACTTGAAAAAGTTGAAGAAGACTGGAAGAATAATTAAATGCATGGATATTCTCTGCCTACTTTTAAATGGTACTACTGCTCCATACTTCGTGTTGTAACTTGTACCACATCATTTTTATCTCTAATTTCATGATTTTTGTTTGCAAATTACTTTCTAGATGTCAGAGCAATTTAACCAAGAGCTGTCATTGACCGGAAAAATCCCTTCTGGGCTCTTCAATTTTATGTTTGAGTTTTCTGGTAGTTGGCAAAAAGATGCAGCGTACACAAAAACCCTTGCTTTTGATGGAATGTTCATAACACTCTACACAGTTGCACTTGAAAAATCTCAGATGGTGCTCTGTGATCACGTAAAAAAAAAAGTTCCATCGACATGGGAGCCTGCTGCATTGGCAAGGTATAACACAAATTGTCTTCTATACCCTTGGTTTGTAATGGAGACACTATTTTATTCTGATTGCAAGCTATTTTTAAGCCTTTATCATCATTTTTGGTGTTTCGAAAAGTTGAATCCTGTTTTGCTTTTTATTCCTTATTTACAGCAATGGGTAGATTATCGTTGTGTGTGGTTGAAATAGATATTTTGCTACCCTTAGATCTGGAGCTCTTAGTTGGTAGTAGTGGTGGGCAACTGCACACTTATGTGTGAAGAAAAGGGAAGGTGATAGAATACTAAGAAAGCTTGAACACCTTTTTAATGGTTTGCTCAAATCTGTGTACCTTTCTTTGAAAGTATATCCTCTGAGCGAAGGAATTCGAGGTCCTAACTAAATTCAAGCCTGCTGCTGCTGTCATACATCCTTCAATATTCTATATATAATTCTGATTGTTACTGCATTTTCAAAATTTACATGGACATGAAAAACTGTTTCCTTCTGCACTTTACGTTGTAAGTCATCTGCAACTCTACATGAGAATATAATATTTACGAAGAAAATCTTAATAAATTTTGAGCTAAAGGTGGTTGAGTTCTTCCGTTAAATATAATTGGATGCATCCATGATTCCCTTTGCTACCTTTGTGTTATGTTTTAGAATGTATTGTTTTTCTAAGATTCCACCTTTGTTATAAGTTCATGTTTTTCTTTCAGGTTCATTGAAAAGTTTGGCACGCATATTATTGTTGGTATAAAGATGGGTGGGAAGGATGTAATATTTATGAAACAACAGCATTCTTCATCACTTCAACCAGCTGATGTGCAGAAACGATTGAAGGTGATGGCTGATAAAAGGTTTCTAGATGCAAATGAACAATATGGAATGGATACAGAACAAATATACCAGACTGAGAAGGTTTGGAATTATTTTATTTGTATTTAATTTATGCCAAGGTACAACTTTGAAAACTTAGAAGCTGGTTTAATTTTTTTCTCATCTGCACATTTATTAGTACTCAAAATTTTCTTTAGGCAGCAATTGATGCAAAGAACATAATTATGTATCTTATCTCGAAAGAACTGGATATCAGCAAGAACCAGTTTGCTTGATAGAATTTGGTGCAACAACCAATCAATTAGTGGTCATATTTGAAGTTCTTCACTTTTCTCCCCTTTCCATTGCTTTGCCTGCTTGAAAGTTAAAATTTGTATGATCACCATGGGTCATCAGGTCGAAAATTACTTATTAGCTAACTGCTTGACTATCATATGTTGCATATATTATGGCTGATATTGTAGAACTTAGATGCTCTGCTGGTGTTTTGCATTATTTTACAAATTGATCAATATATGAACTGTAGATTTGTTCCCTTGATGCAACAAGAACCAGCTTTCTTGAGAGAATTTGGTGCAAAAATCTACCAATTATTTGTCATCTCCGAAGTTCTTGTCCGTTTGCCCTCTTTACAATTTTTTGGCTGAATGGAAGTTGAAGTTATATGATTATGAGTCATCATAGGCCTATAGTTACTTATAGTCAACTTTTGTCATATATTGTATAAATGGCTGATATTTTAGAAATTAGATTCTCTACTGGTTGCATTGTTTAATTAATTCATAAATGCATAAACTGTGATTTGTTACGTTGATGCCTCGCCTATTTGATTTTTCAGTTTGAAATGAGGGAGACAAAGCTGAGGTTTGCAGATACTGGCACATCAAGTTCTTGCTCACATAAAGACGTATGTCTTTCATATTTTACAAATTGGATCAATGTTACTTGCTGGGCTCAAGAGTTCTGGGATCTATTTTCATTTAGTTAATTGGTTTGTTAAATAACAGGATATTGTTACCATCTGCAAAAGGAGAGGTGGAAGTGATATTAGAAGTTTGGCCCATAATGAGTGGCTACAAACAGTACAGTTCGAACCTGATGTGATCTCGATGTCCTTTATTCCAATAACCTCCCTCCTGAATGGTGTCTCTGGGAGTGGATTTTTGAGCCATGCCATTAATCTATATTTGCGCTGTGAGTAACATCTTCCGTTTTTCCATTGTGTATTTATCTGGTTCTGAAGCTTCTAGCTTGGGATTTTGATAGAAAAGATTTTAGGTTGGCTCCGTGTGCTGAGATGTGAAGAAATCTAGGTTGAAGCCAATTCAAAAGTTGTCTCTTGCAATATGTTTATTTTCAAAATATATTTTCCACTATCTGTTTTTAATTATTTATCCATTATTTTCCTTTTGGAATTGAGCTAAAGTAAAAAGGGGCTTCTTGAATTAGTTATTCAATAATATTTACCCACACCTTGTTCATTATATGATCATTCTTGCAATTCATGTCCATGTATTTGGCTGCCTACTAATTCTGACATTTTTCGTCGTTGAACTCTGGTTGCAGACAAACCACCAATTGAAGAACTTCACCAGTTCTTGGAATTTCAGTTGCCTAGGCAGTGGGCACCCATTTTCAGTGATCTCCCCCTTGGTCCACAGCGGAGGCAACAAGGTTCACCTTCATTGCAGTTCAGTTTAATGGGTCCCAAACTTTTTGTAAATACCACTCCGGTAAATCATCTTTGCTTGTTAGATTGTTTTGCGTTTTCTTGATTGCATGTTTGGATTTTTGTTCTGTCAGAATTAATTTGTATCCTAGCTGTAACTTAACATTATCTGCAGTTTAGCATCAGTAAAATTCCATTTGCGCCAGTCTTAGTTAAGCTGAGGAACTTTGTGCACGATCCTTTGATACTTTTAACACCCAAGATTGCAATTGTATATAAGGTCTTCTACATTGTAACCTATTTCATTTCTGGATGTTTTATGTTTACTTCCTGAAACAATTATTAGAAGTTGTAGAAATAAAAAAAAACTATTAATTAAGCGGGTAAGTATTTTTATCCCCTTAGTCCCTCAAGTAATTAATTTTAATCTCCATTTTCATGTTGCTTTTAACATCAAAATGATTTGCTGCCTTTGCTGGACTATTTCTTCCCTTTTGCGACTCCTCTATTATTTACATTCCCGAAAACTAATTGGATACCTACTGTAAAATATCAAACGTTTCAGGTTGATGTGGGTAAGCGGCCCATCACTGGCCTGCGGTTGTATCTCGAAGGTAAAAGAAGCAACCGCTTGGCAATCCACTTGCAGCACCTGTCCTCCCTTCCAAATGTTTTCCAGCTCGAGGATGATCCAAATGGCAACTTCCGCCAGGAATCATATGATCACAAATATTATGAGAAGGTTCAGTGGAAGAACTTTTCCCATGTATGCACCGCACCAGTTGAATCTGACGACGACCTTTCAATTGTCACTGGAGCACAGTTACAGGTTGGGGATTATGGGTTCAAAAAGGTTCTGTTCCTACGTCTCCGCTTCTCAACTGTTAAGCAAGCTGTTGCAGTAAAGCATCCAGACTGGGACGGTCCCGCTGGACTGGCCCGCAAATCTGGGCTTATATCTACTTTGATTAGTCAACGCTTCACATCAGTTCAAAAACCACCTCCACAGCCAGCTGATGTGAATATAAACTCTGCTGTTTATCCCGGGGGCCCTCCCGTTCCCGTCCAAGCACCTAAACTCTTGAAATTTGTTGACACAACAGAGATGACGAGAGGGCCGCAAGAAACACCCGGTTATTGGGTTGTTTCAGGTGCAAGACTTCTGGTTGAAAGAGGGAGGATCTCACTCAGGGTCAAGTATGCATTACTCACAGCAGTGCTACCTGATGATGAAGAGTCGGACTGAAATTAGGTTTTTGGCTTATCAAGAAAATAAGGAAATTTTGATATAACCCTGTAAGAAGATTGGACTAAGGAGGAAATCAGTGTCCTGCTAGACAACGTCTTAGTCGAAGGATGAGACAAATTTCTGCCATGAATTGAAGAATGAATACGTTACCTCTCTTTCAACACGGAAATTTGTTGTACAGGACTACAGGGTGAAAAAGCTTTCAAGATTACGGTATTGTACTCAACACATTTCTTGTATCATTTGTCTTCCATTCTGTACCATGGGATTTTTGTCTCTGTTTTTTACATGCATGATCAGACCTTTAACTCATTCTCCACTGTAGATACAATGAGTGTTGATGTAGCTTTTAACCATAAATCTGTTGAGGGTGTTTGTTCTTATTAGTATACATTACTTCGTACATGGATTGCAGAAGACCTCTGGTCTTTGCAGTATAATTGTTAATGACCCTTGACCGTTTCGGGACAGAAGTGTGCAGTAAGAAAATTACTCGATTATGCAAATTGGTTCATTTGCAGCTTTTAACCATAAATCAGTTGAGGGTGTTTGTTCTTACTAGTATACATACTCCATTATGTGAGGTTTATTGAATTCTTGCGCTTGGTGGCTTTTCTGTCAATGGTGCACTTAGAGGAGGAAAAATATTTTTCCAACATTTGGATTCGTGAGAAAATAGTTTATATTATGTTTCATGGTGCATGTGAAATTACTATTTTTTCTTTTCCTATTGGTTTTACATCATGGCCAAGTTCATTTGCTGCAAGTTTTCTTTACATTTGTCAGCAAAACTTGGTATGGAGGAGTAGTATAGCAGTGAATTGCTGTTTCTGCAATTGTCTTGATTCCAACTGCCTGCCACTGCCAGAGTCATTTTGACATATTGGCCTCAACCTATGATCGAATTTGTGAATTGCTGTTTCTGCAATTGTCTTGATTCCAACTGCCTGCCACTGCCAGAGTCATTTTGACATATTGGCCTCAACTTATGATCGAATTTGGGCGTGATTATAATCACACCGATATCGAGTTTGCTGCTTGTATATTAGTCGCTGATCCTCTCACGATTGTATCTTTGATTTGGTTCCTTTCTATAGCCGTTAGCCCATATTGTCCTGTCTCAGGGATCAAGCTCGCCATTCGTGCCCATGGTGGTAGGATTGTGAGGCTTGCCAGCGACCTTTCGAGGTCTTTGCCTCGTCTCATAGGGACAAAAAAAATTGTTCAACTAGATACTTCTGAGGCCTCGCCCCTAATGGGTCGGGGATTACCCCATCTAACTGGGTAAACGGGGTGGGATGTGGGTGTGGTGAGGGTCATTACTCCGAAGCGGGTACAGGAAACATAGTCCTCGTTTCGTTATTCATCCTGTTTAAAGTTAATTTTAAATTTAAGTTTTTCATCAAACAAAAATAATTGATTTATCATCATTTTGGGTAAGAACATAAGTTATTTTAATAATTGATTTATCATCATTTTGGGTAAGAACATAAGTTATTTTTAACAAATTGGTAAAAAGGTAATAATATTTACTGATTACTGACATAAAAAAATAAAATAAAAAAATAATAAAAAGATAAGATAAATGGAGTGATAAATGGGATAGGAGACCCACCCACCCACCCACCCACCCCTCCCTCCCTACCCCATCCCACCCTGATCTCGTTTCGAACCCGTCCCGTTTCGCTTTAATAGGGTATGGGGATGGAGTAAGGTATGTCGAGGCAGGGGTAGAAATGACCTATCAGTGCCATACTCGCTTCGTTGCCAACCTTATAGGGAATTGAATCGATTGATACTTGCATTCTTGGACATTGTCTTGGAATGATTGGATAGTTGCTTTGGCCTCGATCCATTGAGGTTCAGTAAGGTCATTAATGGTTGAGGCAATGCAGGATGGGAGCCATGGCACATGGATGGGCGATACTACGTAGCACTATGGGTTCCATGTAGATGGTCGATCTTAGGTGGTGTTTATGTGAACTCTATGTAGCGAGCAAGCATAACACTATGAGCCCGTTTGATAAAGATTAAAATTCAATTAAAATTGAAAATATAGCCGTTATTAGGTTTCACTCGTCTAATAAAAGTCAACAATAACGACTAATTTTTCAATTTTAATCTCTATCGAACATGTCCTTAAAAATAATTTTTGAAATTTCTTAAAATTGATGAATGTGATAATTCTAATCATAATTGTTAAAAGTAATAGCTTGTTTTTCGATTTTAATCTCTACCGAACACGCCATATATATAATTATTTTAATAAAAAATGCATTGCAAATCACGTACAAATTGCCACTTACGTGATACATATTGGCGTGCATAAAATGTCTAATTGACAATACAATGATTTTTGACAATGTTTTATAAAGTGTAGGTTGGAAAGGCAAATTATTTTTTAAACTGTCCAGTAATAACATGCTGCGTGACATATTGTCAACGATGTTGTAAAATTCTTTCATTTTTACAAATCTTGTAGGCTGTGTGCATGCAATTGATGTGATCGAGTTTTCTCAACTGAGATTTTGAAAGTATTATAAATTCAAGTATTCTCAATTGAGATTTCAATGATTCTATTATAATTCATCAAAATCAAATTTAAGTATTTCCCCTTTGATTCAATTATCACTCGACACATAATAATGATATATTAATGGGTAGGGGCAGACAAAATGTGAGTGTGACGTTAGATTGGCAAAGAATGGACCAAAGTATCTTGCATATGAGTTGGATTTCCACCAGATTGACCCCACAATCCTAAGTCAAAATCGTAATGTCAAACGGGATATCATTAATTTTTCTAGGTGCAGAGCTAAAGACTAGAGATTTGGACTATGCCATCTACCATAATAATAGCATATTTTCAGAAATTCCCCACACTTCAACCCAAGATTTGTCCACATTCTCCCACTTGTTTAAGCAAAATGGTTTGCTTCAAGATTTTAATGATACACATCTCTCTCTCTCTCTCTATTGAGAGTGAGGTTTCATGTGAGAAAAAGAAAGAAAATATTTTGTTTTATAAGAATTTTAACAATTTAGTGGAGGCGCAACCAATAAACAACGAATGCACGCACACACAAGCATGCACATATAGCGATGTTACTTAATGTAAAGGTTTTGGACTTTTTGAAGTAGGTCGAAGCTCATTGACTCTAAAGACAATCGACCTTTTAATTTCTGTTGATTACTTAAAATGGGAAAAAATTAGTCATGAAGACTTGTTGATTCGAGCATGAATATTGAGAATTTGAACCTATTGATTTGAGATTGAAAAACGACAAGTTACTATGAAGCCCAAAATCCTCAATATCGTGTGATATCGTTGTGCAGAGTCCAGATGTCTTTAACCAAACAAGCTTTATGAGTACGTGTGTGTATATTTCTTTTAAAAAATTTATACTCTCAAGACCCTTGTAATTTTACACACAGACATCAATCTTTTTTCATCTCTTCCCCCATCTAAGGCAAGGCAGGAAAATAGACAGTGCTCCATCCAAAGATGCTTCTTTACTGAGCTTTTTCCCAATTAAATAAAACACCTTTGGAACAAAGCTCAGGGCATCGCAGAAAGTCATTCAATCAAGGGATTTCAAACTTGAATTCCTGAGCTTTTGCTTTATGCTCATTTGCATGTTCTTTGTATAATTTATTGGCAGTGAATCTATCTTTTCAAAGCATGATGTCACTATTTAACTAGATAATACTAAAATGGCAGAGAAATTAAAAAATTGTATGCATTATTTTGTCTAATCTTGTCAAATAGAAAACATTGACAAAAGACACTAAAACTTTGTTCATTACACTATTCAGTTCTGCCCGTGTTGTGTATGCATTCGTGTCTAATATACGACAAAATGATATATTATATATATATGATTAGATGACAATCCAACTAAAAAACAACCAACTTTTCTTGATTCAGGGCTTTTGGAAGTGGCTGATGGACTCATCCAATAAGTGGAATCTAAGAGATAAGAAACAAAGATGTCACCACAAGAGACATTTAATCCTGACTCGATCCAAATCAACATCAAGTGATGTAACTTAATCATCTAGTGGAGTCAAATCAAATCAAAATATAAGGTCGACCTCTCAATGATACTGATTTGAGTAAAATGTATTATATGCATGTAGTGGTGTTAAAGTTGGTCGAGCCTCTCCACATCCGAGACATTGAATTGCCATGCATGTTATTTTTATACTCACTACTTGATCAATCTAGCTGTAAGATTTGTTACACGAGATTTTTCAATTGCAACATGAAAATGACTTTTCAAAAATTGCAGCCCTACCCACTAACTGGACAGGCAGAGACACCTCAAAAGTTCACCTCACAGTCTGCCTTTTCCATGAGAGCGTTAAAGCTCAGTGGAACTTCTTATTCATAATACAAGAGCACATTTTTCCATGCACATATGAGGAGTCTTGAATTTCTCAGAGGCTTTTTTTTTTTTTTTTTTTTTTTTTTTT